AAATCTAAACTAAACAGGGAGAGTGTAAAACCAAAGAAATCTCTGTGGAAACATATTACTTGGAAAAGGCAGAGTACTAATATGTAACCAACAGAGTCTGAGGCTGGATGATTTTGGGAATAGAGGTAGAAGATCTGATTTCAACCAGCACTGCAGTCAGTGAACTAAAAAGGTCAATTGCTTGTGACTTTTTTTAGGTGAAGGCCAAGACACAACTTGATGGGAAAGAAATTTTGTCTTTTAATTGTGACATGAGAATTAGTGTGGTACATGAACTGGTGTAACAGTGGTTGAACTGCACCCTACAGGCTGAGATTGCAAGAGCCTTTCATAAACAAAAACAAGGACAAGGTTGTTTAGTTCAAGTTTAAAACTGTAACACTAATGTAACTACTTGGGACCTGCTGATGTCCTCATTAATTCATCTCCCTATCAAACTTATATTTTCAGGGATGAACTAATGCCCTTGCAGAACAAGGTTCTTCCATGTTTAAATATAGGCAGAATTCGATCACTTTCATCACCTCTGTGACTATCACTCCATCCTTGCTTGGACAACCACTTCCTGTTTTGATGTTCTCATCTTTGCCCCCATATTCAGTTCTCTGTGTAGCCGTCACTATGGTCCTTATAAAACAAAAGGCAGATCATGTCACACTTCTGCCCAAAGTATTCCATATCAATTCATATTAAATCCAAACTCCTTTCTCCTCAGGGACCTGCTCCACCAGGCTCTGCCTCCAATCTCCTGTCACTGGTCTGGCTCACCCTGCTCTCTTCATCTCTGCTGCCTTATTCTTCCTTGAACACATCACACACATTCCTACCTCATAACCCGTCCCTCTGCATGGATGCTGTTTCCCTAGGTTGTCAGCAAGCCTTGCTCCTTTTCTTCAGCTTCAGTGCCACTTCATCCAAGAAGCCTTCTCTGTAATCTCCCCACCCTGGAATCCTCCTGGTCTTTTTACTTTTTTTTTTTTTTTGCACTGGAGATTGAACCCAAGTGTGCTCTACCACTGAGCCACATCCCCAGCCCTTTTTATATTTTATTTGAAAGACAGGGTCTTGCTAAATTGAGTAGGGCCTCACTGAGTTGCTGAGACTGGCTTTCAACTTGGGATCCTCCTGCCTAAACCTCCCAAGCTACTGGGATTACAAGCACGTGCCACTTACTACTCCTGGCTGTCCTTATCTTTCTCTTTACTTTGTTTTCTATTTCATTATAAGACTCATCACCACCTGACTTATTTTTTGTCTGCTTCACTACAGAAAAGCAAGGCCATCATTTGTTTTTATAATATCCTCAGCTACTAAAACAGTACCTGTAACATAGTGGGCTTTCATAGATGAATAAATGCTTATACTTTAAGTCTAAAAGTAGATAACATGTCAATATGCTCAGATAAAATATTTCCGCTTTGAAAGAAATGTTTCAATGTTTCATTTTTATGTATTTTGGATTCCAGAGCTATTACTTTCTTGAACTCATTTTTTACTGAATAATTTATTTTGAGACAACTGCTTACAGTTGCTTTTATATATACCATAATTCGATTATTGCAACTATTTGGCATATGATTGTATTCTAAAAATTATTCATTTAAAAATGCCTTTTGCATTTTTGCTTGTTTAATAATCACATTAGTTTGAATGTGCAAATCTATGAAAAAATACAATAAAAAAAAGTAAACACTGAAAATACAGAGATATTTTAAATAAGACATTAGATAGGGAAAGTTAGATCCCTTTGGGACTGTTGCTTATGAAAAAGCTTGACAGGGACTGGCTGTGTGTGAGACTTCTCTTTGGTGTTGCAATTGGGGCTACAAGCATCAGTGTGTCATAGTTAACATCCCACAACCTGACTGTTACTGGTAGAAATGATGAAATCTACAAATGGTCCACAGGAAGTTAAAATGAGGATACAGAGATACATTGCTTCTGTATTTCTGTATGCCTGATAATATCCACCCTATTTCTCATTTTGTCTTGAGATTTTTGGTCTTAGCTACTTTCTTATTCTTCCTGCTCCTCCTCCTCTTTTTCTTCTTTTTTCTTGAATTCAACTGCATAGTTCTCATCTTTCATTCAGTTGATCTTAAGATGGCTGAAGTGATTCGGATCCTGGTGCAAATCCCAGTCACTTGAGAGGCTGTAGTCCCAGAGGCTGAGGCAGGAGGATCTTAATTTCAAAGTCAGCCTCAGCAATTTAGCGAAGCCCCAAGCAACTTAGCCAGACCTAGTCTCAAAAGACAAAACAAAAAGGGTTGGGGAAACGGCTCAGAGGTTAAGCACCCCTGGGTTCAACCTCTGGTACTAAGAAAGAAAAAAAAAGTGATTTGTGCCCACAGGTGACTGAAAATAAAATAATTTGCTCTACACTGTGTCTCCAGACAAACATGTGTAGCAGTGAATTACCTAACATTAATAATTATATGTTTGAGAATGAATGAGTGAATGAAATGGTTGGTTGTTAATCTGGTAGACTGAAGGATTCAAGAGTCACAAAGATTAGGTTGGTGAAGGATTTGGGAGAGAGGCAATGAATGTAGGCTCTAACTATCTGAAGTAAAAGGGCACCAGGGGCTCACAGAATCAAGGAGAAGTGAGGGAACAGCAGGAACCAAAGAAGTACAAAAGGTTAAAATACAATCGGGAGGTAGGAAACAATTTCTGTCTGTTCAACCTGGTCAGGGCATAGCTGCTGCTGGGGCTGCTACTACCTCTGCTCAGCGAGCCCAATCCCAACATCCCCAGCTCCCCCATTCCTTAAGATGGGTCCACTTGGCCTATTGGATAAATGGAGTGGTGGTGGGAAAGTAGAGGAATGATCTGCTCTTGTCTTGGAGGTTGCTGCCTACACTCTTGCCAGGATATTTCTCATCTGGGGAGAGGTAATTTTCTGTAAGAAAATGGAACTATCACAAAAGATGTTGGCTGGAAGGATGCCAAAATGACCAAGGTGATCTAAATGGCAGATATAAAATGAACTAGAAGAGAAAATATGGGTTTATAAATTTTACAGACAAGTATTGTTTTTATTGAAAGCATTATTGCAAATTAACAAAAAAAAATACTAATTCACTGTAGGAAAAAATAGGCAATAGACATGAATATATCATACTTAGTAAATTATGCAAATAATAAATATGAAAAATATAATGATCAACTTTACAATCAGTAATCAAAGAAATGCTGGTTAAAACAAGATGTATTTGGATGCATCACGTTTTCAATGACAGAGCATCCCTGGGTTCAATCCCTAGTACCGGAAACAAAATGTTTATAAATGTTGATGCACTTTTCAGAATCTATCCTAAATATTACAAGATCTCAACAAAGATGATAAATACACACGTGTTCATAATATGTAGCTACAATAAAATTTGAAGATATTCCTCTAAACCATCGATATATCAATAGGGTAAATGATTGTAATATTCTTCAAAAATTAAATTATATTTTAAAGAAAAATATAATGACAATTAAAAGTACTAAAAATATTCTGTGATATCAGCAGGATTCCAAACTGTTTGTATAGCATTGTGTTAAGTCATTAACAAATCTGTATGCATGGAAAAAATAAAAAGAAAATATACCAAAATGTTAACAATGACTGTGTGTGTAGGAGGGTTATAGATGATTTTAATAAAAAAAAAAGTTTCTGTGATCTCCAAAACTTTGTATTTTTGTAAAATATAGATGTTAAAATTATAAAAATAAACTCATTACTTTTGTACTCAGAAAAAAAAGAACAATTAAAGAGAATTTAGAATACCACTTGTCTAATAAAAACGTCAAATTCATACTGAAATAGCTATATAATAAGATTTCTTAGTCACTTTTTCTTGACATCCCTAAAGATATGAAAGATATGTAAAAGAGTCAACAATCACAAAATCTCTCAGGAAAATAAAAATAATGACATACAAATCAAAGTATTTCTAAAACTCATGCTTGGTAATCCATAGCTTAAGTTCGTTCATCTTTAAACAACATTTGACGTTTTTCTGTTTTATTCCTCTTCCTCAGGGAGGTAGAAATTCAGTTATTCTAAGGGCACTTAATTTGTTTTATTTCTAATTATTGTTAATAGAAAGACCTATTGTTGTTGGTTAGTGCCATATGTTTTAATGGTCCTTAAGATTTGGAGATGCAATTTTATAGCCTGCTGCTTCTCAACCAAAAGTGTTATAATTTCTAAAGACAAGCTTGTAAGAGAGCAGTTACTTGTGTGCATAATACTTATCAAATCATCTGTGACTAATAAAACTTGAGAAAGAGGGGAGGAAAGGGGTGTTTAGCCTTTCAGTAACATGCTTGTTGTAATCTTGCCAAACCCCTCTTAGGCAATACTCTGTTTGCTCAGAGGGCCATGTGTTTAATTGTAAAAATCTGTCAGTATCATAGGATTCAAAAGACATCAATTATTCCTGTCAACAAGGAAAGACTGACAGCTCTGTGACTCTTCCATCATTAGGAAAAGATGTGCTCAAGAGAGAAAAATGTTGACTAGGGAGGGATGAGCAACTATAGGTTACAGGAAAACTGAGTTCCAGACTATAATTTCACTCCCTTCCCCTATTTTGGACTGAAACATGATATTTTTCATTTCATGTAGTGCCATGTGTGCAGTAAGACATTATGTAACTCGTTCAGTCTCGCTGTATAATAGCCATTAAATACTTTTAAAGTGGCCGAGGTTATTAGCAGTTTGGTGTATGGGGAGGGGGGCTTCGTTTCCTTCTGCTTTGGAGGGATGCAATATTGTGTGATGGAGTTGGAATGGGCCTGTATTCAAAATTATATTCGAAAGGGCTGCTATTCAAACCACATGACAACTGGCTCTCTTTTTCTTAAGACTATTCTGAGTGAACTAAAAACGGCAAAACTGCTGTTTCAACAGTCCCATGGGTGAAGTGGGAATTTTCCATGTTTTACTCCCAATTTATAATTTTATGCTAAGATTTCTGAATTATTATCACCCAGCTTTAGAGACATCAAGACACAATTTTCCAATCTCTTGCGACCTAAGCTGGGTGACCTCAGGCTGGTGAGTTCGCTCTTCTCAGCCTCAGTTTTCTTACCTGCAAATGGGCGACAACACCTAAGGAGTTGCAAGACGGTTTATAGGTAAAAAGAACAAAGCTCCTGCTTAAGTATGTCACCTCAGGAAAGATCCTTCCCTTGTTGGTCCGTTGTTTCCTTAATACTTTGGGGCCAGCCGTGGCAACTAGCTGCAATGGACGAGAGTTTGAGACTCTGCGCACAGTTCCTAGAACGGTACTGGTGACACTTGTCCGCTCCAGGGTACTTGATAAGAAGAAGAATGCCGGCGAACATTCCCTGGGTTGCTGCGGTTGATTTATGAAACTTTGGGAGAAGAGAGAATAAGAAACCCGACCAGGAGACTGGCCGGCTGCGGAGTCCCCTGCCCCGCCACGAGCCTGGCCCGGCGCCGCCTCGCCCCACCCCTGCGAAGCCGAGCAGCAAGTTCCGGGCAGCGGCGCCCTCGGGCCTCCCTCCCTCCCTTCCTCTCTCCCTCTACGCCTCCAGCTGTGCCAGCTGCGCCAGCTGCGCCAGAGTCCAGACAGTCGGCAGCGCCCGCACAGGTGTCAGCGGCCCCGTCGCCGTGCAGGTAGGAGCCGCGCGGGGCCCGGGCTTGCAGCGCTCCCGGGGGAGCCCAGTTTCCGCCGCCCTCGCCTCTGTCGTCCCTCCTCCCGTCAGCCCCGAGCAGCTGGCCCGCTTCTACCCCAACTTGGGCGGGATCTTAGCAGCTGCGGCGGCGGATGACTCCCTGGTGGCCCCCCGGGGGGCCTCGGGTACCCGCCCACGGACCCAATTCCTGTACAGTCAACGCTGGCAACTTTGGCGCACATTTCGCCGAAGGGGCGGGCGGCCGCTTGGAGCCAGAGCCCAGCTGGCTCCAGCCCGAGG